ATGTGATGTGATTGCTTCTAGAATAATTTATTACCCTCTATGATCGTCTCACATATATTGACCACGCCATGCGTTGGGGCACAATGCCAAAGACCAGCACATGCAATCGATGCTACCTAAGGTTCTCAGAAACCCATGTTTATTTTCATGTATTGTGTACAAATGATGGACATTGTTAATGGTTGGTTTGCTTCTATAAGTACATAATCATTGGAGAAAAACCTTTTCTATGTCTCGCATCCCCCTTCCATTGGAAATATGGAAATCGACATTCCAAATCGCCAACAATACATAAAATTAACTCTTTCCTCATCCGGAACTGTCGTTGAAACTTCTCAACGTATACAACTTCATCTGTAAAATAGTATTTTACAAGACGATTGTGCATGGCTTCACGATTTCTCCTCAACGAAGGTCTTCTTTTCTGAGTTCGTGAACATGAACTTTGACCTTGTCAGTTTCGAAAATACACCCTTGTTTTTGCCATGATGAGAACAACAAATAATCTTCTTCTTGCGTCATAGAATAGGAGGATGAAGATAACGATGATGACATTGTGGCTGAGTGAGTTTTTTGAGGGAATATGTAGAAATAAGTGTGAAAATTATGTTAGGTTTGTTTGACATTTATAGAGTTGTAAAAAAAATTAATAATTTTAAAAAATTTAATGTTGGAGCCGTTGAAGGTAAAATAATAAGAAAAAATTATGTTACCGTTGAAAAAGCAGAAAAAAACCGGTCTGTGATAAAAGGAGAGAGATGGCGGGGTAGCCACCCCTCACCCTTCCTCGTGTCGGACGAACCGTACGCCAGTATTACGTTTTTGGATGCGATTTCGTTCTCCGCTCGCTTTCCCCGCTCTGCTCCACTATAGATAGAAACTATCCAAAATCAAGAAGAGTTAATTCATGAGTCATGATGTAACATCCCAAAATTCATGACAAAAAATTTCATTTTTAATTAAGTAATTATAAAACCAATAGTCTGAAAACATCCATAGTATCATCTCATATCAAAACCCATATGTCAATAATCAAAACATGTCATAAGGAACAACATCAGAGGATAACTCCCAAAGATCTCATGTGCGAAAAACGTAGTGTGATGCGCTGCGATCATGCCGGCTCATTTCCTTCGAAGAATAAGTACCTGAAACCAAAACTGAAAACCGTAAGCACGAAACTTAGTGAGTTTCCCCATCATACCATATACCATACAATAAGCCTACTACCAAACATAATGAGTGTTGGCCTACCCATTCAGTCTCTTTCAACCGGTAATCGCCTAGCATATCAAGTTGCTGACCTACCCTTTCGGTCTCTTTCAACTAGTAACCGCCTAGCATATCAGGGTGCTAGGTAGTTACCAGTTGAAAGAGACCAAATGGGTAGGTCAACATCCATATATGTTAGGCGGTTACCGGTTGAAATAGACTGAAAGGGTATGCCAACACCCAGATATGCTAGACAATATGTTATTGTATGGGATGTGGTATGATGAGAGAACTCACTAAGCTTTGTGCTTACGGTTTTCAGTTTTGGTTTCAGATACTTCTTATTCGAAAGGAAATGAGCCAACATGATCGCAACGTATCACACTATATTTTTCGCATATGAGATCTTTGAGATTTACACTCTGATGTTGTTTTATCATGACATGTTTTGACTATTGATACTCTAGTTTTGATATGAGTTGATATTATGGTTGTTTTTAGACAAATGATTTTATAATTGTTATATTAAAAACGAAAATTTTGATCGTAAATTTTGGGATGTTACAATGAAGAGTTACATCAAGACTTGGGAAATCCATATCAAAAACGATTTACACATATTACACGGGGTACACGTCAAAAGTAGGAGTCTATTTGTACGTTTTATTATTATTTGAGTATATGTGATTTTAGTAATTACTTATATTTTTAATAGGTTTTTTATTCCATGATATTTTATAAAACCATAATTGAACACATAAACACAAACTACATACAAAACTAATCATAATACAAATAACCAACCATTACTCAAAATTAACGTAAAAACATTAACACAAAAAAAAAACATAAAGAAACGACTATTAAAAAAAAAAAAAACCATAAACTCATTGAATGGAAACTCGTCCCCTAAGGCTATTACACGAGTCCACTTTGAATAACATGTACCCAACCATTAACCATTTTAGGAAGAAATTATTTTTAATTAAATTTATCAAAATAAATATTTATGTTGGTGGGTTTACTCAAATTTCATTTAAATATTGGTGATGATTAGAGATCAACTTTAGAACCGTTGAAACCGAACCGGAACCGATCATAATTTAATAAAACAATCTAGTTCCCGATTCTAATAATATAACAAAACCGGTATCGGTTCTAATAAAAACCGGTTAAAAAACTGGAACCGACCCGTAACTGTAAGAGTTAAAATATTGGTTTTTAAAATACCACAAATCATTTATATGAAGTCAGAATTATTTGATTTTTTTTTTTTTTTTTTTTTTTTTTTTTTTTTTTTCAGAATGTAACTTATTGTTTTTACTTTAGTTTACACTGAGGGTCGGGCCAAGACGATTGGAGGCCTGCGACAAAATAAAAAATTGGGCACTTTCAAAAATTTTATGTATTCGTATATTACATTATTTTATACATACATAACAATATATTTAAATTCGTACACCATAAAATAGGGAAAACTAAAAATACAATGCTATTAGAAGTACAAAAATACTAAAATTCGTACACCATAGAATGAGAAAAACTAAAAATACAATGCTATTAGAAATACAAAAATACTAAAGTCCCATCCCATTTGTTTCTTTATTAACTTGTTCAGTTCTGTTCCTGTACATAAGTTGTTGACCTCCAACTGAAGTAGATTTATCATTGACAAAAAGTTGTTAGGTGAATTGCTTAAATCCAGAATACTTGTTGTTAATAACCTGGAAGTAGTTGAAAAAACTATACAACAACAGAAAATTCTATACATATCAAAAACATAAAAATAGAAATAAAAAGAGTACCATTCATAAATAAAAAATAAGAACATTAACATTACAAATTGAAATTAAGTAATAAAGTTCAAGAACTGTCTCTAACTCAAAAATATTAACATTTGATGATGTCTCTAACTTGAACAGTCTCATAACAATCGAATTTAAAAAAAGAATAAGAAATTTCAAGAGCGATAGAACATACAAAGATTCACAGTCATATTATCAGAAATCAATTTCACCTTTAATAGTCGATTCTAAAAACTGAACCTTCAAATTTCTAGAAATTAAGAAAGAAATCCAATTGAGGCAGTTACTCGAACTCTCGATTCAAACATCTAGGCTAGATTCCTAAAATAAATCAAATAACCTGATTAACTTCCCATTGGTGCTATATCAGAAAAAGGAAATCGACAACAAGAAGGGAAACAATAGAGTTTCCCGTAGTTTGAAATCGTGAAAAGAACGAGACATAATCCGTCTCTCAATTTTAAAATAACATTCAATTCACTAATGGTTGTTGTGGACGAATTCAGAAAACCAGAATAGAATGAAAGAAATCGATTAACTTGAAATCTTGAATAAGAAATAGAAGAATGATCGTTAACTATTGCTTTTAGAGAAGACATCGTTTGGATTTTCCATGACAATGTTTGTATTTTCTATAGAAATCTGACTGTTGAAGAGTTACGACGTATTGGAATTAGGACGCATGTTAGGTAAGTCTTGTTCTCCCCCACACTCCATCTTTTGGATTAGTTCTTGATCAGAGTATTGAGGTTTGAAGTAGTCCAATTGGCTAAAAAGTAATGGACTGTTAATATATAACAAAAATAACAAGTTTAAAATTAGGGCCTTGTAGCATTTGGGGGCCCAGGGCGGTCGCCCAGCTTGCCCATGCCCACGGGCCGGTCCTGTTTACACTATATAAAAGTTATCATATTTTGGTTAACTATTAAATCAGATACAATATACGCACTGAAAGACAACATATCAATGCAACATTCTTATTTTATTATTTTTTTTATGTTTTAACATGTTTTTTTATTTTGTCACAGTTTTTTAAAATACTATAATTCACTTGAGCTAAAGGGTGTGATCATTACATCTTCACTTGAAAAGCGTTGCTACATTTGCATCATGTCATCTTCACTATCACATTATTATCATTTGAAAATGGTTACCACACCACATCATTTATATATATATATATATATATATATATATATATATATATATATATATTTATTTTTTTAACGTTAGATTAAATAAAGAAACGTAGTTTTAAACTTAAATAATCATTTTACTAATAAAAAATTAAATAAAAATATTACTAATTTTTAAAATTAAATAAACATATATATATATATATAGTTGAAGGAAAGGATTAAAAATTAAATAAATTTATAAGCGAGGGGTATAATGAAATTAAGAGGCTCAATATCAAGGACCATAATTGTAACTTCAGTTAAAAACAACAATAAATTATTTTTTAAACCCATTTTCATTCTTGGTTTTCTTCTTCACCCGTTTTCTAAAAAACCGGTTATTGGCCATTATCAAAATTCACAGGTTCAATCTATCCATTTTAAAACCATTTAACTACATCTAAACTCTCTCCGGTCAATACATCCATCGATTAAATATTCTTTCCCAATTAAATGGTATGTGAACATCCATGAGTAGCCCCATTACACAACATAACTAAATCTAAGGGATGGTGTTTACGTGTAAAAAGAACTCCATACATTTTATATGAAATCGAAATTACTTGATTTTTTTTAGAACACGTAATTTACTATTTATATTTTATAAAAAAAATTATATTTTAATTAAATAACCGAAAAACCAGACCCAAACCCAAAACCGACATGTTGTATCTAGGTTCTTATAATATTATAAAACCGGGTTTGGTACAGGTTCTGGTTCATAGTTACTCTCGGTCAAATATCAAACAGCTAAATAAATTATGAAAAAAATAATAATTTGACTGTATAATCTGTTTCAAAATATGACAAATGAGACCTCTGCTTCTAACCATAGACGTTCATTTCTATAGAAAACCCTTTCCACTTCCACCTCCCTCATTTTTATGGCGGGAACAACTTCTCTTCTCTCACACCGTATCCCCTGGAAATCCCTAAATTTGAAAAGAATCCCATCTCCGCCTCCGGTTCACAACAACATGTGCTGGGTCGCGGCCAAGTCCGTCGCCTTCTCAGTTCCTCGGTGGTGCTCAATCGGCCTTCACACCCGTTTCCTCCTCTCCCGTCGTCACTTTGCATTCTCTACACCATGGTCTTAACCCTCTTTCCCCTTCTATCTGTTTCTTAACATTTTTTTAGTTGCATATGCCATTGGTTTGCTTGTAAGTAGGAAAATATAAGCTGTTTATCTAGTCAATAGACAAAAGTAAAAAAGAAAAGGTGAAATGGGGGTGCTAGTTTACTGCTAGCACACTATTTATCTCCATTGTAATGCTTTCTTATTTTGCCGTTTTTCTACGGTTTCGAAATTCTTCAATGGGTGTTCCAAATGTGGAACTTGTAGTCATTGCACAATGGAAGAGATTCTACATGCTATTTCGAACTGGGATTTGAGCAAAACCTAACCAAATGAGCTCAGATCGCAATAAGAAAAGTTAAATTGAATGATCCCACACGATATATACAAGGAAATAAAGATGGTTCTCCATATGATAATAGATATTAATTAGTTATAAGTGTTAAAAGGATTAAATACATATAAATCCTTGGTTTACCCCACAGATTATACTTTGAAAGTGATGATAATTTGTTGAAGCCATAATCCAGGGGTATAGTTGGGTCACTTCTTCTTCTTCTTCTTCTAAAATTTGTTGAGTTTTCTTCAAAACACCAGGCAACCAAAGCAGGTCAACTGCTCCAAAGAAAGAAAGTCAACAAGCACCAAATCAACAAAAAAGGTTAGGGAACTAAAGGATGATCTTGATGAGAAGAATTATCCTCACATTATATGGTGGAAAGAGGTAATCTAGATAACTCATTAACTTCTCCATGTAAGCAACATGATATGAAAGTTGCTTATTTTCATAGATCATTTTCTTATCTCTTCTAGACTTATCAATATCCCTCTTATTCCTTCTTCCAGAAACTGCAAACATGTATGAAGACATCTTCTTCCCAATTGGTAAAAAAACTTTCTTACTCTAATCTTCTTGGTTTGGATGAGAACCTGAAGAATGGAAGGCAAGTCTTTCTCATGATGTCAATACTCAACATGAACTCTTCTTGAATCTTGATCCTTATGTGTTAGTGATCTTTTCCTTTTATTTTCTATTTTGTGAAGTTTAAAAGAAGGAACACTTAATTCCGAAGTACTGAAATTCAAGTCAAGGTTCCCACGTGAAGTTTTACTTTGTAGGGTATGTTTTTATACTCCATTATATCATACTAAAGGCATGTTTCTCTCATGTTTATTTGATTAATGATTATACTAGTCAACATTAAGAACAATTTCATGAATCTTTTTTCATCTCATTAGGTTGGAGAGTTTTATGAAGCTGTTGGTTTTGATGCTTGTGTTCTTGTGGAATATGCTGGTTTGAACCCTATGGGTGGCTTACGCTCTGATAGCATTTCCAAAAGCTGGATGCCCTGTTGTGGTATTGCATACTTATTTCATTAAAAATTATAATATTGATCAATTTTAAACAGTTTTTGAATGACTATTTTCTTGCATTTATGTAGAATTTACGCCAAACATTGGATGATTTGACACGTAACGGGTTCTCAGTAGTAAGTTCACTTTGACTTTTTCTTGTTTGACTTCAATAAGATGACTTGTGAGCTTGAAAAGTTTCTTTCATAATGTTTTTGTAGTGCATTGTGGAAGAAGTTCAAGGTCCAACTCAAGCACGTTCTCGTAAAAGCCGTTTTATATCAGGGTATTTCTGACTTTTTACATTCTTTCAATGTTGTTGAAATCTTGATATAGTAAGTTTTTGTTGATTTCTTTAGTCATGCACATCCTGGAAGTCCTTATGTTTTTGGACTTGTTGAAGATGATCATGATCTTGAGTTTCCAGAGCCAATGCCAGTTGTTGGTATGTAAAAATTCTCTCTTTTTGTATTCATTTGAATATCTATTTAATATAATAATGTTAATCTTTGCATTCTAATTTCCATTTGTTAAATTGTAGGAATCTCACGTTCAGCAAAAGGGTATTTCATGGTTCAAGTGTTGGAGACTATGAAGACTTTTTCTTCAGAGGATGGTTTAACTGAAGAGGCAATTGTTACAAAGCTTCGAACTTGTCATTATCATCATTTGTATCTTCATAATTCATTGAAGAACAATTCTTCAGGTACTTTTCTTTTTGGTTGATTAATGGACAAGAAGTTTAGAAGAACAATTCTTTGTATACAAACCTAAGGGGATGTTTCTTTTTAACTCAATGAACTTAATAGGTTAAGCACTTAATCTGTACAACAACTATATATACTTGTTTCTTTTTTACTTAATCCATACAAAATGACTTAATGAATTTATAAAGCTAAAATACATGACTTATGTCCCTTTTTTTGTTTTTTCCTTTGTTAAGTCCTGAATTTATTAAGTTTACTGAATTGATAATGATATCCGAACTGATAAAGTATTGCTGATATAAATGTTGTTTCTTTTTTGGACAGAATGCACTGTTTGAATTATAGAATATGAATAAATGACTATTTTACCCTCCTATTTAAAAATAATAAATTATCATTTCTTTAGTAATTGTTAAAAAAGATAAATGTACAAAATGATAATTTATTTAATAACCATAATAAATTAAAAATGTTCACAATAAATAACTTTTCAAGTTTACATAAATTAAAAGTAAGATTAAAAATATACATCATCACATTGTAACTCACAATGGATAATTGCTTTACACAAATTATGGATAATTAATTAGATTGTTCTAGAAGAAGGTTAACAAAAAAAAAACAAAGTAGAAATACAAGGATTGCAACACAGGAAATTTGTTAGGAGGGTATTTATGGAAAAATGGATATGGAACTACCACTTAATACTAAAGGTATCATTTTCCTAACTTAATTTATTAGGACCTTTTCTTAAAAAGAAACAACTATATATATATCTTAACCCATTAAGTTTTCTAAACATTAAGTCAAAAAGAAACACACTCTTATGAGTTATGACTTAGTGTCTTGATACACTAACCCTTTACCTATTTTCCTTTTTTTCCCCTCCTAACTCCTCTTATGTTAACTTTGATTCATATTGTTAACATCGATGAATATGATGAAATTTGTTTATTGGAGTGTAAGGGTAAAATGGTCATTTAGTGGTTTATTCAGTCTAGAAAACAAACATAAACACTTTATCTAGACAAACATCACTACCCATTAAGTCACTTTACCTATACATGACTTAATTGAAGAAAAAAAAGAAACAACCCCTAAAAATCATTAGTTGATCCTCAATAATGACAATATCTTTTTAACAGGGACTTCTAATTGGCGAGAATTTGGTGAAGGTGGATTACTATGGTCTGAATGCAATGGCAGACACTTTGAATGGCTTGAAGGGGATATGATTAATGAGATCTTATTTAGGGTTTGATACATCTTTAATCCACTTTCTATATACTTTTATACTTCCATTTATCAACATGGCATTGACTATTGAAGCTACATATATATATATATATATATATATATATATATATATATATATATATATATATATATATTATAACCTCAGGTAAAAGAGCTATATGGCCTTGATGAAAAGGTCACATTTAGGAATGTCACTGTTGCTTCAGAAAACAGGCCACGTTCATTGCACCTTGGAACAGCTTCACAAATTGGTCAGCTATAATCTTTTGGGAAATCTCCTATAAAGTCCCTGTATTTTGACCTCATATTCAATTAAGTCCCTACATTTTGACTTTATAGGGAGTTAATTGAATATGAGGTCAAAATATAGGGACTTTATAGGAGATTTCCCTAATCTTTTAGGTTCTCTTGTTTTGCTATACATTGTAACATTTATGTTATACTTTGTCTGTTTGACACCTGTCATTCATTTAATGTAATAGGTGCTATTCAGACTGAAGGGATACCTTTTTTGTTAAAAATTTTGCTACCCTCAAATTGCACTGGGCTACCTGCTATGTAAGTCAAGAGTTGATTATTTTGAATCCTAAATACTGCATACAATAGAGTTTAAACTACATATAATATGAAAATTCACATTACATGATAATGGAATGTAGTGATGACTCATCAACTCATTCCATTACCTTGTCCACTTCATTCCATTCCATCCATCTTTCTTTCATTATCTTTTTTATCTTTTTTGTTTTTGTTTTTATGGCTCTATTTCTATCTACAGGTATGTAAGAGATCTTCTTCTAAATCCTCCTGCTTATGCAATTGCATCTACAATTCAAGGTCAGTTTCCGATTAGTAGATTATCCATGTTCATTTGATTTATGATGTTTTTCTTAATTTAATAGTAGCTTTGTATTCTTTTTTGCAACATTTGCAGAGATATGCAAACTCATGAGCAATGTTTCATGTTCAATTCCTCAGTTTACTTGCATCTCACCATCAAAGGTAATGAAACTCCTTTCTCATTTCCAACTTCATTGAAGGCATGAAATTTCAACTTTCACCCTTTGTGAATCTGTATCTATACATTTCTTGTCATATTTCCATAGTTTAAACCTTTGTGAATCTTTCAGCTTGTAAAGTTACTTGAGTTAAGGGAAGCAAATCATGTTGAGTTTTGCAAGATAAAAAGTGTGCTTGATGAGATTTTGCAATTGTATAAAGACTCAGAGCTCAATGAGATACTCAGATTGTTAATGGACCCCACTTGGGTATCAACCGGATTGAAAATCGACTTTCAGACACTTGTAAGTGTGCTGAAATTTCTGTAAATGATATCATATATATATATTTTTTCTTTTATATACTATGAGACTTATCTGTTATCTATACTTTGTTTGGTTATTTTTCAGGTGAATGAATGTGAATCTATCTCCCATAGAATTGGTGAACTTATCTCTTTAGATGGTGAAAAAGATCAGAAAACAAGTTCATATCCAAACATACCAAATGATTTTTTTGAAGAGATGGAATCTTCATGGAAAAACCGTGTTAAAAAGATCCATCTAAAAGAATCCTATGAAGAGGTTGATAAAGCAGCTGAAGCCTTATCTTTAGCAGTAAGTGTTCTTCCTTTGCTTCCATATTTTGTTATTATTATCTTGTAGTAAGTTAACAGATGCCAGGTGGCATTTTTTCTAAGGTTACAGAAGATTTCCTTCCTATAATTTCAAGAATAAAAGCTACCACAGCACCATTTGGAGGTGTAAGAGGAGAAATCACATATGCACGTGAGCATAAATCTGTTTGGTTTAAAGGAAAAAGATTTGCTCCTTCTGTTTGGGCTAATACCCCTGGAGAAGAACAAATAAAACAACTGAAACCTTCTATAGACTCAAAGGGTAGAAAAGTCGGAGAAGAATGGTTCACCACAGTAAAGGTCGAAAATGCCCTCACAAGGTTAACCTTTAATAAGAAAAAAAAACTTTGTTTCAAAAAGAAAGGCTGTGTTTGTTACACTAGACTAGACAAGGTTTCTTAGGCTGGTTTCAATGATGAAGATAATGAGGGCATTTTCGTCTTTTCAGGTACCATGAAGCTGGTGCTAATGCAAAGGCAATGGTGTTGGAATTGTTAAGGGGACTTTCTACAGAATTGCAAGATAAAATTAATGTTCTCATTTTTGCCTCCATGTTGCTTGTCATTGCAAAAGCATTATTTGCTCATGTGAGGTAAGAGATCAAATGTTACAACTGTATTCTAGTTTAAAAGATTCTTAATTTTTAGCTGATAAATCATAAATCAAATTCGTTTGCATGTTTTTGTAAACTTAATTTTCTCTTTGTTCATTAAATAAAAACATTGAGTTAATTGTTGTGAACATGAAGTGTTGTTTTTTAAAGGTTTAATTTCAAGAATGTTCATGCCTTTTTATTACTTTTTCCTCGTCTATATTTACTCATGTTTATTGCTTATATTCTCATTATTAAAGAGGCTTTTCAATAAACAGGAAACTTGTAGCATAATGTTTTTTTTAGTTTAGTCATAATTGCTTCTTTTATTATTTAAAGACTGAACATTTTCTAATGCTGAAACAGTGAGGGGAAAAGGAGGAGATGGGTGTTCCCTACTCTCATTCAGTCCAATGGTTCCAAGGTACCCCCCCTCTCCTACTTTTTTTCTTCTTTTAAGTGTTGTTTGGATAAAGTGATGTCTGTATAAATGATTCTTAAAAAGATATTTTAGAAAAAGACAACACCCTAAGAGAAATGGAAGGAAAAATTAAACAAGGGCAAATTTGTAAAAAGAACGTTCAGGCTTAAATGGGAAAAATCTCTTTTCTGCATCAAGTCAAAAATAAAAACACTCGTTTCTAGCTTTAAGTCAACAAGAAGCAGTCATATATATATATATATATATATATATATATATATATATATATATATATATATATATATATATATATATATATATATATAGCTTAAGATAACATTGTCTATTAAGTCAAAAAAGAAACATCCATATATAATTATAGCAAATGGAAAGTTATTTGATTTTGTTATTTTTGAAGGTTTGATATGTAATTAATTTTTCACAGGAAAAGGGAGAAATTGATGGAATGAAGATAACTGGTTTATCACCCTATTGGTTTGATGCAGCTGAAGGAAGTGCTGTTGTTAACACAATTGAAATGAAGTCAATATTTCTGTTGACTGGTCCAAATGGAGGTGGAAAATCAAGTTTACTTCGGTCAATTTGTGCTGCAGCTTTATTTGGAATATGTGGATTCATGGTCCCTGCTGAGTCAGCAGTAATTCCTCAGTTCGACTCCATTATGCTACACATGAAATCCTATGATAGCCCTTCTGATGGAAAGAGCTCATTCCAGGTCATCCCTTAAATTCTTACACAATCATACTAAATGACCATTTTACCCTTCCATCCAAAAACACAAACTTCACAATATTCGTTAACTGAGTTGGAAGAAAAACAAAAGGGCAAATAGGTAAAAAGTTAGTATCTTAATACATTAAGTCATGTTTTTGGCTTAACTCATTAAGTTGTTTCTTTTTTTTTTTTTTTTTTAAAATTGGAAGAGAATGACTTAATAAGTTAAGCCAAGAAAATTGGTTTAATGTATTAAGACACTAACTCTTTACATGTTTCCCTTCTTTTTTTTATTTAATCTCATAAAAGACCTTATATTCTGTGTTTTTTCGGATTAAACCTCAAAACTTTATTTTTTTTCCTAAAAAAGACCTTACATTTTTTCATTTTTTCCGATCTGGCCCTTTTAGTCATTTTTTTTTTCCGAAAAAAGTCGTAAAATGTGAGGGTAGTTTCAGGAAAAACTAAAAAAGCTGAGAATTTATTCTGAAATATTAGAAGGTTGAGGGTTTTTTCCGGAAAAAAAAAGACAAAGTTGAGGGTTTTTCGGAAAAAATACAAGGTTTTTTTCATGAAAAAAATAAAGATGAGGTTTAATCCGGAAAAAAAACACAAAATATAATGTCTTTTATAAGATTAACCTTTTTTTTTTCCTCTCTCAACTCCTTTTACATTTAAATTGATGAATATTGTTAAATTTAATGAATATAGTGAATTTGGGTTTTTACAATGTAAAGGTAAAACTATCATTTAGTCTCATTCACACAGTTTATTCAACACAGAACAGAAATAAACTTTAGGAAAATTGTCAGAAAAGTCCCAATATTTTCAGGAAAGTTACACTTTAGTCCCAAGATTTTTTTTTGAACATAAATATCCCAATTATTTGTAAAAATACGATAATATGTCATTTCATGTTAAAGAAAAAAAGGACTTTTTTTGTAAACTTGAGCCAAAATGAAATAATCGGGACTTTCATGTTGAAAACAAAAATCATAGGACTAAAGTGTAACTTTCCTGAAAATATTGGGACTTTTCTGACAATTTCCCTAAACTTTATTATGTATACAAACACCTTATCAACTATTAAAATCCATGAAACTTATAATTTTCAGATTGAAATGTCAGAATTGCGTTCTATAATCACAGGAGCCACATCAAACAGCCTTGTTCTTGTGGATGAAATCTGCAGAGGCACAGAAACAGCAAAAGGGACATGTATTGCTGGAAGCTTTGTTGAAACCCTAGATTCAATCGGTTGTTTAGGCATAGTATCAACTCACTTACATGACATTTTCAAATTACCATTGAACACTAACAATTTAGTTTTCAAAGCAATGGGAAGTGAATTTGTCAATGGTCAAACCAAACCCACATGGAAGTTGACCAATGGGATCTGCAGAGAAAGTCTTGCATTTGAAACAGCTCAAAGAGAAGGTGTCCCTGAAACAATCATACAAAGAGCTCAACAGCTTTATGCCTCTGTTTACACACACAACATCAATTCAAACAAAACCTACATTCACACAATTCAAGAATCAACGTCTTTTGTTTCTTCAATTGTTAATGAATCAACTGATCAAATGGAGAAAGTTTTGAAGGATTTGGAGAAAGCTGTGAGTTTGATATGTAAGAAAAGTAAATCGGAAGTTTTGATTAGATGTGTTGTGATTGCTCCTAGGAAACAACCACCTCCTTCAGTGATTGGTGCTTCAAGTGTTTATGTGATTATTAGGCCTGATAATAGGCTTTATGTTGGAGAGGTATGTGTTTCACTTTTTTCACTTAGCTAAATTACAAATGGTGTTTTATTTTTAGCAAATTGGAAGAAATAGCAACATATTTTTCTCTTTTTTTACCAATATAAGCTATATATTTTGTTTTTTAGAATCTATAATCGCAACATAGTTACACTTTTTTTACCTATAATGGCAATATGTAACTCTTGTTATAGCAACATATTTACATTTCCTTACCAATAATAGCAATACATAACAAATGAAGCTAAATACAAGTATGTTGCTATTATATGTAAGGGTTTATCTTGTAAAAAAACTTATATTTTGTGTTTTTTACGGATTAAACCTCAACTTTACTTTTTTCCTGAAAAAAACCTTGTGTTTTTTCATTTTCTTTTTCGATCTGGCCCTTTTAGTAATTTTTTCTGAAAAAAGTTGTAACATGTGAGGGTTTTTTAGGAAAAAAACTAAAAAAGTTGAGGGTTTTTTCGGAAACAGTTTGAAGGTTGAGGGTTTTTTTTGGAAAAAAAGACAAAGTTGAGGGTCTTTTCGGAAGCAGTTTGAAGGTTGAGGGTTTTTTTTTGGAAAAAAGACAAAGTTGAGGGTCTTTTTGGAAGCAGTTTGAAGGTTGAGGGTTTTTTTTTTTTTGGAAAAAAGACTGTGGAGAGTTTTTTCGGAAACAGTTTGAAAGTTGAGGGTTTTTTTGGAAATTTTTTGAAGGTTGAGGGTTTTTTTCAGAAAAAAGACAAAGTTGAGGGTTTTTTCGGAAACAGTTTGAAGGTTGAGGGTTTTCTTTGGAAAAAAAGACAAAGTTGAGGGTCTTTTCAGTAGCAGTTTGAAGGTTGACGTTTTTTTTGGAAAAAAACAAAGCCGAGGGTTTTTCTTCAGAAAAAATGAAAAAAAAGTCTTTTTCAAGAAAAAGTAAAGTTGAGGTCTAATCAGGAAAAAACACAAAAATAAGGTCCTTTATGAAATTAACCCTATAGATAAAATATAAAGTAAATAGCTATAATCAGTAAAGAAATGGAAGTATGTTGCTATTATTGGTTAAGAAACAAAAAACAAAAAACATTGCTATTGTTCACAATTTACCCTTTTTTGTTTATCAAATTTTTTGATAAAATTGTTGTTACATGCAGACTGATGATCTCGAAGGAAGGGTTAGGGCACATCGGGGAAAGCCAGGAATGGAAAATGCAACTTTTTTGTATTTCTTAGTTTCAGGGAAAAGTGTGGCATGCCAGCTGGAAACATTGTTGATTAATCGGCTGCCTAAACATGGGTTTCAACTCACGAATGTGGCCGATGGAAAACATAGGAACTTTGGTACTTGTGATGTTTCTGTACAAGGTATAAGCTTACATAGATAAGATGATTAATGGAGGAGTCCTAGCTAGATTTAGAGTAGTTGATGTTTTGTAGTTTTGGAAACTTTTTGGTGCAACGATTTTGTGCTTCATACATGTTGCGCCAATTTTTGTAAAGTGAAGATTTTGTTTTTGGTGTAATTTGCAAAAACATCAAGGGAATTCTTGATTGTGTAATTTAAACAATCATGAATGGAGCTTGACAATCATTGTTGTGTGTGTGTGTAAATTATATATACATATATGTTGGTATGACATTAGTATCAAGGTCGATAATACTTAAGCGGGTGTAACACCTTGTAAGATGAATATGGAAATGGTTGACAACATTTATTTAATATGATTCGAAATGTGGACAAAAATTGTTTGTCCATTTGATAGAGGCTTTGCTCTTAGATTGAAGGTGTTACGAATTCTACTAACTTGATTTTTAACAACAAACTAACCATTAAAAAAATATTAATTGTTATTTGATTAAATACTCTCAACATCCTTGGAGAGAATAGTTTTTTTTATTGACGGTTAAAATGCTCATTTTAGTTATGTTTTTTTTTTTTTAATTTTATTTTTATATTTATTATTATTATTATTATTATTATTATTATTATTATTATTATTTTTTGTGCATCGAAGTGATTCTTATTCAATTGTATTTCATTTTACTAATTTAATTATATTTAAAATACTTGTTTATTTACTAGTAATTTATTTTATTAGATAATTTATGGTATTTTATTTATAAAGTATTAAACTTATAAGGATTATATTTAAACTCTCTTTTTATCTTTATAATTATAATTCAATAAGTTCTTTCTTATATTTTATATATTTCAAATAAAGACTCGACAAAGTTCTATTTAAATAGTAATGTTTAGTAATAATTTTTAATAAATATTTTCGTATTAAAATATGATAGTATTTTAGAAAACAAGAAATTACATAAGAGTTTTATGAAACATTATTTGTAGTCAGGTTTATAGAAATAAGTATCAGAAGTGGTCAATCAATGAAGAATGTTAAAACTAATGAAAAAATAACGTGACAATAATTTTGAGCCACTACACATATCAATTAAAATTTAAACCAATTTATAAATCAAGTTACAAAACATCAACATTTGACAAAATATTGCTACTGTAGATAAGAGCACATCATGTTACCGTGCTTTCACTGTACTTGAAGGCTTTCCATTGCTTAGATGCCATTTATTTTTTCAAAGCGAAAATTTTTGAAGCCTACAGATTACCTCTGCAACCCTCTGTAGCAGAAGAGGGGGACCAAACGGTTGCAGCATGTAATAAAAAGTTTGTTTGTTTTTTAACATCTGCAGACTGCTGCAATAAGTTAAAGTAAGGTGTAAAGATGTTTGAAGCAGAGGGTCAAGTGTTGCGCCACGCAATACATGTGCATCGGTTTTTAAGTCATAAGTTTTCTGAAAAACAAGCAGCTGCGAAGGGCCAAATGTTGCGCGACACAGCAATAAGTGGTTAGAAGAGGGTTTTTTTTTTTTTTTTTTTTTTTTTAACAAACGACACCTCACTCTCTCTTTGCCCGTCTCTTCAAAACTCTGTCACATGTTTCCTCAAGAAATCCATCATATTTGTTCTTCTGCACTATGCTTGAAAGGCCTTTTGTTCCACTTCTTCTCCTGTATTCCTTCTGTCACACCCCGAAACCGACGACAGAAACGTTCCGAGGTGGATGACGTCATGCGTAGTATCACAACCAATGTACATAGTAAGCATAGTAAACACAATCATTACATTACATAGGATTATTTACATTTGTTTGAAAACACAGTATTACAAGTTTTATTCATATACGGCATGTAAACAAAAGAACATACGAGACTTCAATACGCTCCGTCTTCTCCAAAAGTAAACGGGATACCTGTCGAACGAGAACTTGAGAATACAAGCAACTTTAAAATAGTAAGCATAGTAAACACAATCATTACATTACATAGGATTATTTACATTTGTTTGAAAACACAGTATTACAAGTTTTATTCATATACGACATGTAAACAAAAGAACAAACGAGACTTCAATACGCTCCGTCTTCTCCAAAAGTAAACGAGATACCTGTCTAACGAGAACCTGAGAATACAAGCAGCTTTAAAATATCAGCATAAAGCTGGTGTGTTCATAAACGGTTTGTTTATGGTAAAAGAAAATGTTCCTTTAGTTTTTGAAAAGTTGTTTCCCCAAGAAAATCCCATATTTTCTTATGAAAGAAGTTTAGTTATCAATTTGTTAAACAACCTTTTTATGAAAAGTTAAGTTATCCCAGGAAAAACCCTTATTTTCCTTAAAAGTTAATGTTCGATTATCGATTCGGAATGAAGTGTACAAGTATCTACCATACTTGTATCGTTAGGTAAAGTTTCCTTGAAATTTTGGTTATCCTTGAAAAGTACATTAGTTTTAACACATATATAAAACTAATAAGTAGGTAGTGAACTATTTCTAAGGGTATTACAAATACCATCTAGTAATCAAAACAATTATTACTTTGAGGTTAGTTCACCATGTTCATTATTACTAAAGTAAATCTCCATTATTCTAAGTAGCGAGTTCTATAACCATACGATAAACTAGATACGACACGTAACGGGGGCAATATTGATTTATGACTTTGTCACCCGTAGACCCGTCGGTCCGGCTGTAGCTAGCAGCGAGGTGTGGGGTAGTCAGTCCCATATAGATCTATAAACAGAAGTCACGTTCTCCCTCCAGGAGATTCTGGTTACAGGGGTAGCCCTACACTCTCGTACCCGGGGAGTGTTACCAAGGACGTGTCTCCAACCATAAGATTAACAAATTTACAAGTAATAATATGGAAAATCCGTTTTATGAATGTCATAAATCCCTTGTGAAATATAAAATATAACATTTTGAATTAAGTTTCACAAGTATCCTTATTTTAGTTTTGAAAACCAAATCCATAGTTAAGTTGGTTGGTAAAATGTGTTTTGGTGTAAAAAGCATACAGATCATGTAAACATTTCATACGAAGTAATAAGTTTTGAGTACAGGTTCCCTCGTACTTTTGCTCGTATCCCCCCCCCCCCCCGCCCTGAAAGCATGAAAAACACGGAAAAAGGTGTAGGGGTATGAACTCACAATTTAACGTAGGGTTCAAGTGTGATCGATATGAGTGCTGAGTGTTAACAAATGCCCTGAACGCAAGTGGTCCCTATTATACATATGATGGCACATATGTGAGTTAGAGCTAGGGTGTTTCATGACAAAACATGATGAGAAGTCACTCTAAAGACTTTGTATCACTAAGATTAAGTGTCCCATGATTCATACTTAGTGATCTTTACAAGTTTAAGGCCAAATATGGGCATTAGAGTGAGTGTATGGCCATGCAGTGAGTGTGCGGCTAGGGAATGCGGCCAAACTTGTGTGTGAGGCTGCACGCAAGAGTGTGCGACCATAAAGAGGGTGTGTGCGGCCATATATAGGGTGTGTGCGACCGTACATAGTAGTGTGCGGCCGTACACTCCTCATTTGAGTCAAAATGTTGATTTTTGAAGTGTTTTCTCTTCACCAAGGGGAGTTTTGAATGTGTGCGGCCACCATATGAAGGTGTGCGGCCGTACACCTTCAAGGGACGAAGAACATGATGAACATTATGAGTTTTAAGCTTAGATTCAAGTGTTTACCACTATATCCAACTAGATGATGGAGTAGTTCACGGTTCTGAGGCCTTCAAAGTGTTCTTGGTTGATGATTTTGGAGAGAGAAAGTAGAGAGAGATGGTGCATTCAAGAGAAGAAAGGAGTGAATGAAGGGGGTCTCCTCAATATATAGGGTTGGGTGTGAGGCTGGATGGCCGCACACACGGGTGTGTGGCTGGGGGAGTGTGTGCGACTGGGTGTGCGGCTGGCTGACCGCACACGCGGAAGTGCGGCCACACACACCTTCCTTAGTGTGTTTGGCCCAATTTTGTGATGCTACACCCTTTCTAACCTTTCTTAAGACTCATAACTAGGCTATAGTAAGCCTAAAGCACTCATATGGACCCACAATTTCGCTATAAGATGATAAATTAGAGTGAAATATTGATATACGGATCGATTGTACAGGATAAAAGTTTCGGGTTGTCACATCATACCCCCGTTAGAGGGAATTTCGTCCCGAAATTCAAGAATATGGATACAAATCATGGATTTCGAAAAAGATGAGGGTACTTCTGTTTCATTGAATCCTCGCGCTCCCAAGTGAATTCAGGTCCCCGCTTAGCATTCCAACGAACTTTCACTATCGGGATGCGACTTTGTTTCATACGCTTGACCTCCCGATCCATGATTTTAATTGCTTTCTCCACGAAGTTTAGGTTTTCATTGATTTCAATATCATCAAGAGGGATCATAAGGGTTTCATCGGATAGGTACTTCTTAAGATTAGAGACGTGGAATACAGGATGGATGTTGCTAAGCTCTTGGGGTAATCGGAGTTTATAGGCCACAGGACCGATCCTAGCGAGGATCTTGAAAGGTCCTATGTACATTGGGTTCAGTTTTCCACGCTTTCCAAAACGTATCATGCCTTTCCAGGGCAAGACCTTCAACATGACACGATCTCCAACCTGGAATTCCAAAGGGTTTCGTCATTTATCAGCGTAGCTCTTCTGTCTGTCTCTAGAGGCTTTCAATCGCTCTCGGATTTGGATGATCTTTTCGGTAGTTTCATGGATGATTTCAGGACCAGTGAGAGCACTGTCGGGGACTCGACTCTTAGCTAGCTACGTATCCCCTACCTCAACACAACACAGAGGAGATCTGCACTTTCAATCGTAGAGGGCTTCGAATGGGGCAACCTTGATACTGGTGTGGTAACTATTGTTATATGAGAACTCGATCAAGGGTAAATGGGTGTCCCACGACTTGCCGAAATCGATGACACACACTCTCAACATGTCTTCCAAGGTCTGGATAGTTCTCTCACACTGCCCGTCCGTTTGAGGATGATAAGCCGTGCTCATGTCTAGTTTAGTTCCAAGAGCTTTCTGTGGGGACTGCCAAAACCTCAAGGTAAACCTGCTATCCAGGTCACCCTTCCATCCAATCTTACTAAATGACCATTTTACCCTTCCATCCAAAAACACAAACTTCACAATATTCGTTAACTGAGTTGGAAGAAAAACAAAAGGGAAAATAGGTAAAAAGTTAGTATCTTAATACATTAAGTCATATTTTTGGCTTAACTCATTAAGTTGTTTTTTTAAAAAAAAATCTGAAGAGAATGTCTTAATAAGTTAAGCCAAGAAAATTTGTTTAATGTATTACGACACTAACTCTTTACATGTTTCCCTTCTTTTTTTTATTTTTTTTTATTTTTATATATTTAATCTCATAAAAGACCTCATATTTTGTGTTTCTTTCGGATTAAACCTCAACTTTATTTTTTTCCTGAAAAAGACCTTACATTTTTTCATTTTTTTCCGATCTGGCGCTTTTAGTCATTTTTTTTCCGAAAAAAGTTGTAAAATGTGAGGGTAATTTCAGGAAAAACTAAAAAAGCTGAGGATTTATTCTGAAATATTAGAAGGTTGAGGGTTTTTTCTGAAAAAAAAGACAAAGTTGAGGGTTTTTCGGAAAAAATGAAAAAATACAAGGTTTTTTTCATGAAAAAAATAAAGATAAGGTTTAATCCGAAAAAAAACACAAAATATAATGTCTTTTATAAGATTAACCTTTTTTTTCCTCTCACAACTCCTTTTACATTTAAATTGATGAATATTGTTAAATTTAATAAATATAGTGAATTTGGTTTTTTAGAATGTAAAGGTAAAACGATCAATTAATCTCATTCAGACAGTTTATTCAACACAGAAAAGAAATAAAGTTTAGGGAAATTGTCAGAAAAGTCCCAATATTTTCAGGAAAGTTACACTTTAGTCCCAAGATTTTTTTCTTGAACATAAAAGTCCCAATTATTTGTAAAAACACGTTAATATATCATTTCATGTTAAAAGAAACAAAAGGACTTTTTTGTAAACTTCAGCCAAAATGAAATAATCAGGACTTTTATGATGAAAAAGAAAATCTTAGCACTAAAGTGTAACTTTCCTGAAAATATTGGGACTTTTCTAACAATTTCCCTAAACTTTATTATGTATACAAACACCTTATCAACTATTAAAATCCATGAAACTTATAATTTTCAGACTGAAATGTCCGAATTGCGTTCTATAATCACAGGAGCCACATCAAACAACCTTGTTCTTGTGGATGAAATCTGCAGAGGCACAGAAACATCAAAAGGGACATGTATTGCTGGAAGCTTTGTTGAAACCCTAGATTCAATTGGTTGTTTAGGCATAGTATCAACTCACTTACATGACATTTTCAAATTACCATTGAGCACTAACAACTTAGTTTTCAAAGCAATGGGAAGTGAATTTGTCAATGGTCAAACTAAACCCACATGGAAGTTGACCGATGGGATTTGCATAGAAAGTCTTGCATTTGAAACAGCTCAAAGAGAAGGTGTCCCTGAAACAATCATACAAGGAGCTCAAGAGCTTTATGCCTCGATTTACACACACAACATGAGTTCAAACAAAACCTACATTCACACAATTCAAGAATCAAGTCAAGAATCAACGTCTTTTGTTTCTTCAATTGTTAATGAATCAAAAGATCAAATGGAGAAGGTTTTGAAGGATTTGGAGAAAGCTGTGAGTGTGATATGTAAGAAAAGAAAATCAAAAGTTTTGATTAGATGTGTTGTGATTACTACTAGGAAACAACCACCTCCTTCAGTAATTGGTGCTTCAAGTGTTTATGTGATTATTAGCTCTGATAATAGGCTTTATGTTGGAGAGGTATGTGTTTCACTTTTTTCACATAGCTAAATTACAAGTGGTGTTTTATTTTGGGCAAATTGGAAGAAATTGTAACTTAATTACCAATATAAGCAATATACTTTGCTTTTTTTTTAATCTATAATCGTCAATATAATTACATTTTTTACCTATAATGGCAATATGTAACTCTTATTATAGCAACACATTTATATTTCCTTACCAATAATAGCAATACATAACAAATGAAGCTAAATACAAGTATGTTGCTATTATAGGTAAGGGTTAATCTCATAAAACCTTATATTTTGTGTTTTTTACTGATTAAACCTCAGCTTTACTTTTGTTCTGAAAAAAAACCTTGTGGTTTTCATTGTTTTTTCGATTCGGCCCTTTTTGTCATTTTTTTTCGAAAAAACTTGTAAAATGTGAGGGTTTTTTTAGGAAAAAAACTAAAAAAGTTGAGGGTTTTTTCGGAAACAATATGAAGGTTGAGGGTTCTTTTTTGGAAAAAAAGACAAAGCTGAGGGTCTTTTCGGAAGCAGTTTGAAGGTTGAGGGTTTTTTTTTTCCGGGGAAAAAGACAGTTGAGGGTTTTTTTTGAAACAATTTGAAGGTTGAGGGTTTTTTTGGAAAAAAAGACAAAGTTGAGGGTCTTGTCGGAAGCTGTTTGAAGGTTGAGGGCTTTTTTTTTGGAAAAAAAAGACAAAGTCAAGGGTTTTTTTGGAAAAAAATGAAAAAACAATGTCTTTTTACGAAAAAAAATAAAGTTGAGGTCTAATCTGGAAAAAAAATGCAAAACATAAGGTCTATTATGAGATTAAACCTATAGATAAAATATAAAGTAAATAGCTATAATCAGTAAAGAAATGGAAGTATGTTGCTATTATTGGTTAAGAAACAAAAAGCAAAAAACATTGCTATTGTTCACAATTTACCATTTTACCACTTTATGTTTAAAAGAATACTTATTAATATTTTTGATAAAATTGTTGTTGCATGCAGACTGATGATCTTGAAGGAAGGGTTAGGGCACATCGGGGAAAGCCAGGAATGGAAAATGCAACTTTTTTGTATTTCTTAGTTTCAGGGAAAAGTGTGGCATGCCAGCTGGAAACATTGTTGATTAATCGGCTGCCTAAACATGGGTTTCAACTCACGAATGTGGCCGATGGAAAACATAGGAACTTTGGTACTTGTGATGTTTCTGTACAAGGTATAAGCTTACGTAGATAAGATGATTAATGGAGGAGTCCTAGCTAGATTTAGAGTAGTAGATGTTTTGTAGTTTTGGAAACTTTTGGTGCAATGATTTTGGGCTTCATACATGTTGCGCGAATTTTTGTAAAGTGAAGATTTTGTTTTTGGTGTAATTTGCAAAAACATCAAGGGAATTCTTGATTGTGTAATTTAAACAGTCATGAATGGAGCTTGACAATCATTGTTGTGTGTGTGTAAATTATATATGTTGGTATGACTTTAGTATCAAGGTCGATAATACATAGGCGGGTGTAACACCTTGTAAGATGAATATGGAAATGGTTGACAACATTTATTAAATATGATTCGAAATGTGGACAAAAATTGTTTGCCAATGTAGGAGTAGCCCATTTGACAGATGCTTTGCTCTTAGATTGAAAACGTTTTAATCTGGACGATGGTGAATTCTACTAATTTGACGACTTTTAACAACAAACAAACCATTAGAAAAAAATATTAATTGTTTTTAGAAATCTATCCTTTCAGTTTGTTCATCATCGTCCCACCATTTTTTTACCACGCTGTTAGCCACCATCTTACCATCGCTGGTAACAAACAGGTAAACCTTATTTAATACTTTATATTTCAATCTATATAATGGTATCCAACAATTAGAACCCACACCCCCAACTAACAAATCAAAGTCTTTGTAAAAGATTATTTTGCAATTGTTTAAAAGCCTTGGACCATGTATTTTGATTCTAAAAGACATGGGATCATATGGATGTATTGTCGTTGGGTTTATGAAATTTTCTTTTGAATTAAATGCTTTTGTTTATGTGCAGATATGGTAATTTCTATATGAAATTGTTCCCTATTTGGTATCAGTTATAAACATATAAATTTAAAGCTATTGAGTTTGTTTGATTTCTTGCACATAAGGTGTTTGAGGTACTGTCTCACTGAGATACTTGTTTGGTTTTTATTGTTGTAGATTTATATTAAGGTCTACTCTCTAGATTTAATTGACTTTCTTGACTGTAGGCATTCAGCAAATATATATATATATATATATATATATATATATATATTGAAAATTTTTATTTGGATCCTTTATTAATCTGAACCCTTAACACCTATATGGAAATGCATTGTTATTCTTTGTGCTAAATGCAAGAAATAACAATGTACTTCTATTTACATGTTTTATTTATACCGTCTCACTTTAATTCCTTCCTGATTAGCATGGTATTTTGAAAAATCTTGAAATATAATGATCCTTTCATTAATTTGTTTATGGTAAGTTGATATCATCCCTTTTTAGTGGAAGGAAGTTCTTGTAATAAAAAACTGATGTTGTTAAATTTGATGGAGTGAATGATGAAGCTACAATGGATGTGGTAGATGATAAAGCTAAAAAAGGTACTTTTTTGCTTATGTTTGTTGGATTAAGGTGTCTAAGCTAATAACTAAATTGGTATATTCTTGAATTGGAAGCAAAGTTCTTTTTGGATAGCCCTTAAAACTAGTATTCGGATAGAATGACTTTTGGATGAAGAGGTCAATTTGTTACTTTATTGTATGATTAATAAATTAATTAGAAATTTACATAAATTATTTGTTAATATATCATGGGATTAATATATTAATTAGAAATAATATTATTTAATTAATAATTAATCATAAATTATTTGGAATTAATTTTGGGATTAATTGGATTAACTAAAAGTGTAAGGACTAAAGCTGTAATTTTTCAATAGTTGAACAAGAAGGTATTCTAGAACCTTCAAACCCCTTGAACGAAGTTAAGGAGGGTTTTTAGGGTTTTTGGAATATCCTTTATGGATAATTAGAAAATTAGATAATTTCAAATTTGAAATAATATTATTTGATTTCAAATTAGGGTTTCTATGGTTTTCCTATCAGTTATAAATAGGGTCATTTGGCATCATATTTTCGACTACCACATACACACATATAAGAGCCAAAATTTTGCTCTAGCCTCCTCTCTCCTCAAGTCTTCTTGCTACTAGGGTTTTGGGTACAAGACATTAGAGGCATCTATTCATTTGGTGCTAGTTTTCCAAGATCTAGAAGAAGGATTATGCTTTGATTAGTTGTAATAATAATCGAAAGTATGTAACCCTAATTTTATATGAATTTTGATTTCATAGCCTATTTCCTAGGGTTTCTTGATATTCGTAGTTTGTTGCTATCAATAGAGAAAACATAAATCCTTTCTAGGCCGCATGTGAACTTAAGAGTTTATGTCTTTTTTCGCCACATGTAAAATTTTGGGAGTGTTGAAACAATAAACTTAAGATCAAGGGATCCTTTAACAGAAAAGTGAATCAAAACAAGAAGAACAATTGATCAAAAAGTCCCGAATGATTATATTATCAAAGCCTTAGAAGACTTCCATGTGAACTTCTCTCTACAAGCGATGTAGGGCAATACAATTGATTACCCTAAAAGCATTAAATCTTGGGTAAATAGACCCAAACCGTTACATTATGGACTATTCTAGTACAAACAATATTGACACAACACATTAAATACGCCAACAATCTCCTCTTTGTGTCAATAAGGAAGGTAGATTCTTCAATTTGGCTGACGTTTCTGGACTTTGAATAGCTTCGACATTAATCCAAGCAAAGTGTTGCAAACTATGATATACCATTTTATCAAATATGTGAAGCAATTCTTATACGCAGTATTATTCGCCCTGCATTGTTCAGTAATTCCCATAATGTAGTTCAGATAGGAAGTAGAGTAAAGATGCTTGTATGGTAAAGAAAACAAGCACTTTTGAACATTTACGCCCTCTTTATCATGCTGTTGAAACGCCACACTCCAGTTGTCTTTCTCAAATTCCCCAGCCTCATCTTGCTGATGTTCTTTGGAGCTTCCTTTGTTGCACAATGGGTTTCTTTCGGAGTATAGCCGCAATCTCTACGTCCATTCTCCCGACTTCTTGAATATAGGAGACTAACATTATTTTCAAATGAGCTATAATTGTCTCAAACTTCTGATCATATTTGGACAACAGGGAGAACAAAGAAATCCAATCGTATGGATATAGGCATGGCAAGTCAGTAAAAGTGAACTCAAAGGCCGAATTCCCTGCTCCTCGGACAGCTTTGAATCAAACATTGATGAAGCTTTCAGTTTGAACCGGTCCAAAAAATTTAACCGTAGAAATCTTCTTTGAACTCCATGTTTGATACCTAGGCTTTCTGTGCTTGAGATAAAAAAGAGAAGCATTTGGTTGACATCGTTTTCTGAATCGGGGGCATTCACAATCCTCTCAAAACATCTAAACAGGAAAGCTTTCGGAGTGACTGGAAATTCAAGCCGAGACTCCGAAGAGTTATCCAAATCAAATGATACGACAAGCTCCAACCAATAAACACTCCGATTGTCAATAGCCTCATTCAGAATCCGCTCCATGGACCAAGGAGGGAAGAGAGACTTCTGAGTTTTAAGTGTGACTTGTGCATCACAAGCCTCCTTTTTAGTTGCTTCAGCTTCCTTTGCAACATGCTGAGCTTCATCAAGCTCTTGGTCACGTTTCTTTCTTTTAAGCTTTAACACTTCAGACAAATCTTCTTCTTTTTCATCATTGGATTCAACTAATTTTCCTTTTCCTTTCGATCCCGAAGCTTCATTACCCTTCAGATCTTTTGATTTTGGATTTGACTCGTGTTTGTACTCCCCATATTCATCAGCTGGTTTCTTAGGTTCTTAATCAGATGGCTTCTTAGCTTCTCCCCCTTGTTTTGGAAGAGTATCAGATTCTGAAACACCCTTGATATGATTAAGGATGAAGAATACTGGTTTGATTTTGTCAGCTAGATGTTGGTGAACTGAGATTGTGAGCAACAAGTCATGAGTCTTTACAAGATTTTGCAAGAAAAGGTTTACATCCGCGGCACAACTTTTGAGAACAACCATTTCAGATTTCAGATGATAAAGCTGTTGGTTGGCATTAGATAGATTCATATAAATAAATTTTGTTTTCTCAGTCTTGAGAGCAAGTTGGTCTGTGATTTTTTTTTTCTGTGGCCAGGTCAGCTTGACGCTTCTTAATTTTGGAGACGATAGAGGCATTCATTTCAACATTATCAACTCGTAGATTCGGATGAACTTTGGAGAAAGCCTTTTTTTTCAGTGTGAAGAGTGGAGCTAAGATTTTTGATCACCTTATTCACAACTTCAATGTTTTTATTAGAAGACCTCCGAAAGTCCTCCATAAATCGAGTAACATGTGCAAGTAGTTTTTTGATTTTTTCAGTCGTTTCATGAACTGTCTTCTCTGAGTTTTCAACAACTTTTGTAGAAGCATTGAGGCTTTTGGCATGTTCTTTGGTAAGAGTCTCAAGTAACGCTTTGATAGGCTCAAAAGAATATTCACTGCTGGAAGATGTTTTGGAAGACTCAAGCAGAGTATCCAAATTTTCATTTAGGGTCTTGAACTGCCCTTTTGTCATAGGTGCATCATCATCATGACTATCCTGGTGAACTATGAAGGAACTGAAGTGGAAGTCATTAAAGTCTTCCTGATCATCACCAAAAACCGTATCAGGATCATCGGCCCTGAAGGGCGAGAAAGGAAAAGAATCGAAACCAACAGTAACACCAAAAGCACCGGCCCCCGTATCAGATACATTAACAGTCACTTGAGGTGAACTCGTAGTAGTCGTAGTTGTTGCGGTGGATTCGGTGTATAAGGGAGTAGTTTGGGCAATCTAAATCTATGGTTGTGAAACCCCAACATATACATTTGGACATAGAGCTATTGTGATGGGTGTATAAATGGAAGTAGGTGAAGGTGGAGGTGAAGGAACTTGAAAAGAATCAAATGTCATTAGAATTGAAGTGGAAATAGGAGATGATACCTTCGCAGTAGACTAAGTGGGAGTGGGCTCCGAGACCATGGGTTGCGAAGTGGATCCTGTATCATCATTGTCGTTCTGACGAATATCTTCTGAAATGGTTTGAGAATCCGATTCCTTCTGAGCAACTGGTGAGGTTGATCTCAAATTGCGAGCAACCCTCTTAACTTTCTTCCTTAGAGTTTGAACAGGCTCTGAAGGTCCAACTTTTGCTTGTCGCTTTCCTCCCTTTTGAGGCTTATTTCCTTCCTCAAGTGCTTATTGCATTGCATCGGACATTGGACGAGGACCTGATACTGGCTTCTTTCGGTATTTGTTGATAACCACATTATCTGTAGGAACGTGAAGGAGCATGGCTTCCGGAAGTGATCCCACAAAATCAAACTTGGTAGGTCAGATATAATGAAGTTGGAGGTATGGAATTTAGAATTGCAGTCAGTACTGAGTCTTCTGGTACTTGAATCTGAAGGCGAGTGATAGACCTCTTAACAATAACAGACCAAAACGAGCACAAGAAATCTCTAAATGCCTTGATGAAGAGAGTGTGCTCTGAACAAGCTGTATCCAAAGAACCGAATCAAAATCCAGGTTAATACCCTTGTAGAGACCACTGATTAGCATGCAGAAGAGCTTGCTGGCACCGTCTGACCCAATAATGCGCTCAGAAAAGCTCTTGAATAACAAAGTGAAGAGACCATTCCACATCGGTGGAAGGTGAGGTTTCTTAAACTTGGACAAAAGCGTAATCTCACCAAGATAACCCATTTGGAAGGCAGAGGAGGGAATCGATTCAGGATCAACAAGACCCTCCGAGGAAGAAAACCCTAACAACCTGCAAAATTGGGTTTTTGAGATAGAGGTTTTATGGGAATCGCTTTCAAAATTAATCACCCCTTCATTCTGATTGTAGAAAGCAGAAAAATATGCCTTAGAGAGATGAACCATCGACATAGTTTCCGCCATTGTCAGAGCTTGAGCAATAGGAGAATATTTCAGACATTCAATTATTGGATTGAGGTCATCGGAGTATCTTGAAGATTTAAGATCCAAAATGGGATTCTGATTTGCCTTGATATTGAGCATCATAGTGGAACCAGTTTGTTTAAAAACAAAAGGAGTCTCAGAAGAATCAGCCATTGAAACCATTGGAGACGATGTTGAACAGTGTAGAGAGAGAGAGAGAGAGAGAGAGAGAGAGAGAGAGAGAGAAATGGTTTTTTCTTGAGAGATTTTGAAATCTTTGAAAGTGGTGAAGGAAATCAAGCGTCAAATTACCCTTTTATACGTCATTGGTGGAGAGAGAAAGCCAGCTATAGACAGTTCCGTTTCCCTGAAAAAGCGCCTGAAAAGGCGTGACTGATAGGCGGCGTAACTGACAGGGCGTGATGTCAGGAATTTTGAAAAACACACACCCAAATTGAAATCTTATTCCTTTAAAACCATCGTTTTAGTTCTGCACATTCGTAACGAAGCATTAATCTCCACAACATTTTTGGAACAAGTAGCCATATCCTGTTTTTGAATTGAAAGGAACCATTCGGAATTGTGAGACCAGAACTTTGAAAAAATCATGAGGATTTTTGTGCAAGAGTGAGCCAAAGATAAATAAATAAAGCAAATTATATATGAGAATCTGTGATGTCAATTATAAATCAACATAAAAACAATTGGATCACGAACAACGATCTCTTACGTCGGAGTCAAGAGAGACTCGAAAGTACTTGATGACATCCCGTTGAATTACAATCATCTGTTTGTGAAGAAACAATGAAATACTTCTTTTCATTAGGCTTAAGGGTGGTTTCATCTTCAACCAAATTGCAAAACTCAATGTAAGTCCTAAAGGATGGAATGAGAGTTTGCATACTAACGCTTCTACCTTAAGTGCATATATATCAATAGTCTAGGGGAGCATGAAGCTGACACTTTTGAGTCAAATAATCATGTGTCTAAGTCTGGTGTTAATTTCTGTGATGATTCTGTGTCAAAAACAAATGCTAGTGTTTTTGTGTCTGGTGGTGTTTTATTTTAGTCTGATAATTCTGATAATGATGGTGTTGTTTCTGATCAAACTGATAAATCTGATTTGAATGTATCTACACCTTCCACATCTGCTTCAAAATCCTGTGATGGATCCTGCAAGTGTGGAAGTGTTAAAAATGGAAAAGGGAAGAATAAATCTGTCAACAGTAGTGCCAAAACCATTGATAATAAACAAATATGTTTTAACTGTGGCACTGCTGGACACATTGCACGGAATTGTATGAACCGGATGTTTGTTTCTCATACAACAAAAAGAGGGGAGAACGAATTTCGGGGACGATCTTTAACTAGAAAAATCCCCAGAACTCGTTCTCGAAATGGTGACTTGAATTCAAATTTAAACAATAAAATTAAAAATTCTCAAATGAATAAACAGGTTTTCCGTAAAAACAACAAGTGTTTGCCAAAGTCAACTCAGGATAAGTCTAAGTTGCATTTGTCAAAGGGCAGGACCGGATCTTCAAACTCTTCAAGTAGAAAATCCACCGGCTCGAAGCAAACTAATAAATTTTCAAAACCTAACTTTCAGTGGATACCAAAATCACCTTCAAAATCAACTTCAGATCAATCACCATCCACTTCTAAATCAAAAGAAAAGAAAGAATCAAATGAAAAATCTGTGCAAGGAAAGGGTCAACCCAGTATTGTGTGACCTGGGTCCCCATAACTAAATAAATCCGCTCATCGTGCAGGGACAGTTGCGGAAGAATGTCGCCAGACCTTGGTATGTCGACATCGGCTGCTCCCGGTACATGACTGGAGACATATTCCAACTACACGACATTCAAACTTTTAATGGAGGATATGTTTCCTTTGCGGGCGGAGAGGGCGGAAAAATCACTCAAAAAGGAACTGTTTCAAATGGAGTACTGAATTTTAAAAATGTTAACTTTGCTCCTGAACTAAAGCACAGCTTGCTGAGTGTGTCCCAGATTTGCAACAAAGGTTACTCCACTCATTTAATAGATAAGGAGTGTCTGATCTTAAAGTCTGGCATTGTCATCCGTAAAGATTGGATTCTTGTAAGATCTAAGAGGGATGAAAATGCCTACATTATAGACATGAACATCAATATCCCTGACGAAGTCATTTGTCTTTTCTCTAAAGCTTCTGAACAAAATGCGATGCTGTGGAATCGTCGTCTCGGTCATGCGAATGCAAAGAACTTGAATCGGCTTGCAAAGAACGAACTGGTCCGAGGGTTACCTGTCAGAGATTTCATTACATTTGAAAAATGAGTTTCCTGCGCTCAGGGAAAGCATCATCGGAAACTACATTTTCCAAAGTAGATAAACTCCATAAGTCAAGTGCTTCAGTTGTTACATATGGATTTATTTGGTCCGGTTAATGTTCTCAGCATAAATTGCGACTCATATTGCCTCGCTGTGATAGACGATTACTCTCGGTTCACTTGGGTTTTCTTTTTCTCCAAAAAATTTGGGATCGCTGACCTCATCAAAAGATTCATTGTGATGATCGAAAATCAGACCAATAATCAAGTGAAAGCGCTGCGTACTGATAATCGAACATAATTCAAAAACGCTGTTCTGGACCATTTTTGCGCTGAGAAAGGGATTGTGCGTTAGTTTAGTTCCGTTCGAACACCTCAACAAAACGGGGTTGCCGAATGCCGGAATCGAACTCTAAAAGACGCCGCAAGGACGATGCTCTGTGACTCCAAGCTTCCTGTGTTCTTCTGGGCAGAGGCGATTAACACCGCATGCTACATTTAGAATCGTGTGCTAAGCAACAAAGCCAGCATGAAAGCACCATACAAAATTCTATACGGACACAATCCATCTGTCAGTCATTTCCGAGTATTTGGCTTCCCTTGCACCCTTCTTCACTTGGAATCCAACTCCAAATTCAATGCAAAAGCTGATGACTGTTACTTTGTTGGATATGCTGCTCGAACTGCTTACGGGGTTTACAACAAGAAGACAAAACATATTGTAGAATCTTTCGATGTTCGTTGGCTCGAAGAAAATGAGACAGATGCAAGAGTGGGTCCTGATTAGCTATTTGACTACACATCTCTTTTCAAATCATTCAATGTGTCCTCAGATAATCAAGAATGATCTACGTCAAGTTCAAAGATCATTGTTGAAGATAAAGAAGACGAAGTTGTTTACCGACCACCACTGATTTCTTCTGATTCTCCAATGGTTCCCTCCATTCACACTGAATCTTATGAGTCTTCTCCTCATCAATCTTCTCCTGATGCTGTTTCTACTCCTCTAACTCTGGTGGAAAAAGAGTTCATGAACCATGAGACTTCCGCTGTAACTTCAAACCTACTGGAACTTCTTTTTCCAGAAAATATTGCTGAAGAGTTTATAGCAGATCCTTCGAACGAACTTTGTTCATCTATTGTGAATCACACAACAAATGATGGAGTGGTTAACATTCATAATCTTCCAGTCTCTTTCGATGATATTAGCTACGAGATCGCTGCACACATTCAGCGCGACCATCCTATAGAGAACGTCATTGGCCAGCTGGGCGTCGATGTTCAAACAAGAAGTCAGAGTGGAGATGTTAATATGCGTCTCTATTCCTGCTCTATTTCTCAGATTGAGCCCAAAAATGTCGAAATGGATCTGAATGAGCCCAGCTGGGTTGAAGCCATGCATGATGAACTTAATCAATTCGAGAAGCTCGGGGTTTGGAAGTTGGTGGAGCTACCAAAAGGAAAGAAATCTCTTGACACCTGATGAGTCTTTCGGAATAAACAAGACGACTCCGGGGTAATTGTGCGCAACAAGGCGAGATTAGTGGTTTGAGGGTTTCTGCAAATTGAGGGTCTTGATTATACGAAAGTTTATGATCCGGTCGCTCGCTTGGAATCCATTCGTATCTTCCTTGCATAATGCTTCCTATATGAAGTTCACCGTATACCAAATGGATGTCAAGACGGCTTTCTTGTACGGCATGGTCAAGGAAGAGATTTACGTTGACCAACCACCTAGTTTCGTTAACTCAAAACTTCCCAACCATGTTTACAAGTTAGACAAAGCTCTGTATGGACCGCATCAAGCTCCGAGAGCTTGGTATGCTACCCTGACTCAGCATTTGCTCAACAACGGCTATTCTCGAGGCACCATTGATCAAACCTTATTCCTCTAACATGTTGGTCCAGATTAAATTCTTGTTCAAATCTATGTGGATGACATTTTTTTTCGGATCGACAAGCCAACAGCTTTGCAAAGAGTTCGAAGCAGTGATGAAGAAGCGGTTCGAGATGAGTTCGCTTGGGGAAATGACCACGTTTCTGGGGCTTCAGGTCAAACAATCTTCAAACGACATCCTTATTCACCAAGCAAAGTATGTGGATGTTGTACTGGAGAAGTTCGGGTTTCGAGACGTGAAACCTGCACTTACACCCATGGCAGAAAGACCTCTACTAACCCCTGATTTTGAGGGTGAATCCGTAGATCAGACGCACTATTGATCAATGATCGGATCACTCATGTATCTGGCTGCCAATCGCCCAGACGTAATGTTTGCGATCTGTCAATATGCTCGCTACCAGGCTAATCCTAAACTCTCTCATTTACTTGCTGTTAAACGGATTTTTCGGTATCTCAAAGGGTGCCCAAAACTGGGTCTTTGGTATCCGAAAAATCCAGAATTTGACGTTTATGCTTTTGCAGACAACGACTATGGTGGGTGTGAGTTTGATAGAAAATCGACTTCAGGAGGATGCCAATTTATGGGCGATAGATTGGTTTCATGGCAGTGTAAGAAGTATCATACCGTTTCAACCTCAACAGCAGAAGCGGAGTATGTCGGTGCGTCTGCATGTTGTTCTCAAGTCATCTGGATCCAACATCAGCTGTTGGACTACGGTTTGAATTTTCAAGAAGCCCCTTTTTCTGTGATAACGAGGCTGCGATCCAAATTGCCAAAAATCCGGTCCAGCAATCAAAAACCAAGCACATCGACATCAAAATTCATTTTATCAGAGAATGTTATGAGCGTTTGCTTATTTGGCTAGAATAGGTCCGCTCTGATAACAATGTAGCGGATCTGTTCACCAAGCCGTTTAACAAAGCTCGATTCGATGTGCTGGTTAATTTTCTAAAAATGATCCGTTTTGAGGACTAATTTTTTTTGGTGTTTCGTTTAGGATAAATTTGCACATTTTTTTATTTTTATTTTATGCACAAATTTAGGGGGAGATAAATTAGAAAATCCAAAAACATTTAGAAATACTAGAAAATCCAAAAACATTTAAAAAAATTAGAAAATCCAAAAACATTAAAAAAACTAGAAAATCCAAAAAAACATCAGAAAATTAGAAATACAAAATGAATTATGTTGGTTATGGAATGTGCTTGAGGGAGATGTTTAGGGAAGTGATATTATCAAGTGATAAAGGGCAATCTGACTCTGTGTAAAGTACCAAAACTGGATTGTCTAGGCTCTGTATTCGATGCACTGGTAGGCACGAAGAATTAAACGGACTTGACTAGGTGCAGATGAACCTAAGGAATCTAGAGACTTGATAAATCTTGACCTAGATAGTTCCGTTTAGTCTGACAATACGACGCTTGGATAGGTTGAGCAGGGATATATATATATATATATATATATATATATATATATATATATATATATATATATGGGAATCTACTCGTCACATGAATTGAACCCGTATCTGGAACCGTGGTTTAACTCTTCCTCAATGTGCAGATTCTGTCCTTAATTCCGGTATTGATGGGGCGACTGGTAAATTCCGATGAATTAGGTCTGTAGAAAATCATTTTCTTTCTTTCTTACTATTAGTCACATGTTGCCTCCTTTGCATGATTGGAAGAGATCCGACTTGGACTGTAACATATGCAACTCTATTTCTCCGCATATTATATATATATATATATATATATATATATATATATATATATATATATATATATATATATGAAATTCTTCTTATCTGTTAGCCATATGCTGTCTCCTTTGTGTGATTAACAATCCGACCTGGTACACAACATATGCAACCTTCTGCTTCTATATCCCTCTAAAACTATAAGTGATAATAATCTGAATCTATCTTCTCTCCTAATGATAGTCTGCTCACCCGATGTAAGGAGTACTCTGGAAGTCTTTGATTGTTGGGGCATATCAGGAAGCGGGAAACATATTCCAGTACAATTAAAATTGAACACTAAAAGATTGTCTATAGATCTTGCTGCTCAATTTAGGTGGACACTAATATCCCTGGTCGTCGTCAGCTGAATGGTCCTTAAGATATAATATCTAGGAACTTGGTATCACATTGTCTTGTCACTTATAATATGTCCAAATTTGTCATAAATTTTTTCGTGTTTAAGTGGACCACAATACCGGCGATCGACCAGATCTATTCATGAAAGAGAAGGAACTGATAAATGAACAACGATTGTTTAACAACTTTGATCCCTAATCTTAATAGGTTAAAACAATTTATATAGGATTAAAATTAAAATTTAATTCCTAGTCATTAATAGTATTTCCAATTTTATTTTATTTTATTTTAGTCTATTCTATTTTTATTTCATTTTTTTATTTTTATTTTTATCTTTATCTTAGTTAATAAGTTTTTTTTAATTTTTATTTTTATTATTATTATTTTGAAAATCCTTTGGAATAATAAATTTAGTCATTTAAATCCTCAAAATGGTTTGTTTTTTAAAAAATTGATAAGTATGGGGCATGCGTTTTAAATTGTTAAAATGGGTGAGGGTGAGGAAATGATTTTTTTTTGTATATATATGGTGTGTGCGGTGAGAAATGTACCATCACTATTTCCATTCACACTTCTCTCGACCGCACACACTTACAGCTGTTCTCTCAAATCCCTTTGAATATTCCACTGATTTTCAAGAAATCAAAGCCCTTACCTAGTAAATTTCATGAACACGGCTCAAAAATCAATTTTTTTAATGAAAAATGATCATCGTTTGCTGTTGTATCAAAGAATCAAACGTTTCAGAGTACGACCACACACGGGTGTGTGCAGCTATAATGTTTTTGAACGGTTGAATGTGTGTTGTCACACACGCGTATACGGCTGCACACTTGCACGTGTGCGGCTGAGTGCATTTTTGTGTGCGGTTATATTATTTTCAATAATTTTGATCTAATGATTACGTGTTTCTATTTTCAGAATAAGATGGGAGACATGGAATTTACTAAGGTCCACAACTCCCCCATTTTTCTCCAAGACCCTCCTGCAGCTCACAATGACTTAAAATTCATTGTTGATGGTTTAAAGAAATCCTGCGTGGTCCATGCTCTAACCACATGCCCTGCAATTTACCAGAATCTGATCAAGGATTTATGGAGGAGTGCTGTTGTGAAAAATAATGATTAGGGTGAAAAGTTAGTTGAAACAACAATTGTAGATAAGAAAGTTCAAGTAAGAGAGAGCATCATTTGGGAATCTCTCCAAATAGATGACATATCTGAGTGCACTATGGAGATTGACATTCATCAAACTCAGGATGTCTTAGAACACATGGGGTACGAGGGAACCTTTCCCCCTACCATCAAGAAGTTGCTTCCTCCGTGTTGGAAGTATCTGGCTCACGTGTTTGTGAGCTGTATTTCCAGCAGCAGATCTGGAGCAAATGAGATCTCGCTGGCTAACATTGGAGCAATTGCAGCCTTGGCTGCAGGACTTGAGTTCAACTTCTCTAAGTTCATAATGCATGAGATGATTCTAAACCATGAAGGGAGCAAGAGGGACAAGTTCTTGATGTATCCAAGATTTTTGAAAATCATTCTCAATATAACACACCCCGAGCTGCAGAGAGGAAATGAAACCTTGGACTTCAAATCCATTGGTCCAAGTGCTTTTGGACTAATGAAATAGAAGAGAGGTGGGAAATTTGTGTTTGAAGGAAAATTTCCATTGATAAAATTCGGAATTTTTGCAGAAAGTGATAGAGAAGAATCTGAAGAGTAGTACATCCCGATGGAATCTGAAGATATTTTTCATTCAACCTCCGAGCCAGAGATTGAGGAGGTCAATGATTCTCCTTCAACCATTGTGGCTGAGGAACATGATCATCATAAAGAAGATGAAACACAATCTGCTCAAGATGATGATGATGATCTTTATGGTGATGTCGAGTTTTTGAAGGAAATTGATTTTACAGGGATTAGTGATGACATCCTGACAAATATAGAATTTGATCTTGATGATGAAGAATTCGGTCCTTTTCCTGGAATTCCCAGCAGCTGTCCTGTAACAATGTAATTTTCAAAACAAAATTTCATTTTTGTCACAACCATTTTCACATAAAATATTTCCAAAAACATCCAACAGTAATTATCAAAACATATCGTATCCCAAGATCACAAAAATCAAATCCTTTCTCTAGTGTGTACGAATCACGCCGACGTCTTCCCACGGTCCTCGCTAGTACCTGAAACACATAACACAACAACTGTAAGTATAAATGCTTAGTGAGTTCCCCAAAATACCACTTACACACATACGCCCTTCCAGGCCATGACCTTCCGATTCATGTGTCTCAGGGGACTTCCATCCCAACCCGGTAAACCTTCCGGTCCTACACGTGTTGACCTTCCGGTCCAAAACTCCCTGACCTTCCGGTTTACATCATAATGCCTTCCGACCCATAACATAATGCCTTCCGGCCCATAACAAGCATAGCATACATAACATATACAAAACGGATAAGTAATCACATACATTGCATATATCTTATAGCATACCAGACCTTCTGGTCACACATAGGTACCCTTCCAGGTACAATATAGTGAGAAGACTCACCTCGTAGGATGTCTTGGTAAGTCACTGACATGGTAGAAATACGATCTAGCCTCCGCCTAAACACATAAAGTAATACTCTCATCAATATATAACTCTCAGACTCTCTCTCTAAGCACCCTCAGAAGGGTAAAAGACCATTTTACCCCTCCTTTGGCTCAAAGGCCCTCATTGTCGACCAAACCCTAAAAGTCAACCAATGTCAACGGTTAAAATTTGACCCGACTCGGCGAGTGCACTTGGGCAACTCGGCGAGTCCACCTGTGTCCACTTAACTCTTTAGTCCCATTTAACAGGTCGAGTCCCTACCTTTACTCGACGAGCCCTCAGGTAAGAATCGCGGGGCTACCCCAACTCAACTCGCTGAGTCTCAAGAACAACTCGGCGAGTACATTCCATGCACAAACTCTATTGACCTCCTGAGGTCAGATCTGTTCCTCAAATCCATAGATCTGTCCTTCCCAAGCATAATAATTACGTAAATTCCAGACCTTGACACTCATATGTCATCTAGATAGTAACACTTGGAGATTTAAGCCCAAAAATGGCATCCTAAGCTCATAACTCCCAAGATAACTCATAAAGTTATAAGGGTTAAGGTCTTTGGACCTCTTTGAGTCCAGATCCAAAGCATAAACTCGATAAGGGACCAATTTCTCCACATAAACATCCTCAAACGTGGATAGAAAACCCTAAGTCTAGGTATCAATACCAAAACTAAAGAAGGTCCGAATAAATACCTCAAGTTGAAGTCTCTGAACTCTGCAACCACTAGAACCACACCTTCTTCAGTCTCCTCTTGCTCTTGATCACCTTCTTCTTGCTAAACCAAAAATAAAAAGGTCAAATATGGCTTCTCCTTCCTCTCAAACGATCTATCTCACTTAGAGTGCTCTCAAGGGACTGGCAGCCACAATGGGAGGCTAAGAGTGCCCTTAAATAGGCTCCAACCCTGGAGGATTAGGGTTTTAGTAAAAAACGTGTACTCGCCGAGTCCACTCATGGACTCGCCGAGTCCAATGCGAACCTGAATGATCAACCGCGACCCTACTCTGCAAGTCTAAGCATCAACTCGCCGAGTTCCTTCACAAATTCCAAAAATAAAATATTAAAATAATATACCTGGGATTCCGGATGTTACAATTCTCCCCCACTAGAATCAGACTTCGCCCTCGAAGTCTCATTTTGAAAACAACTCTGGATGCTGCTCGCGCATCTCGCGCTCCGGCTCCCAAGTCAGCTCGGACCCCTTCCTATGTTGCCACTGCACCTGCACCAAAGGCACTTCCTTGTTCCTCAGAACCTTGACCTTCCGATCCCTAATTGCCACCGGTCTCTCAACATAGTTTAGGCCTACATCTACCTGAATATCCTCTAATGGTACCACTACCGACTCGTTGTCTATACACTTTCTCAACTGCGACACATGAAAAGTGTAGTGAATCTGACCCAACTCCGCAGGTAGTTCCATACGATAGGCTACCCTGCCTACCCTTGCGATTACCCTGAAAGGTCCAATATATCGAGGGCCCAACTTGCCCCTCTTCCTGAATCGGATCACTCCTTTCCAAGGAGAGACCTTCAAAAGTATGAAGTCACCAACCTGAAATTCGAGCTCGGACCGAAGCCTGTCCGCATAACTCTTCTGACGCCTGTGAGCGGTCAACAACCTCTACTTGACCTACTGTATTTTCTCAGTCGTTTGAAGCACGATCTCCGTACTACCCATTACACGTTGCCCCACCTCTCCCCAACAAATGGGGGTCTGACACCTCCTCCCATACAACAGCTCAAAGGGTGGCATACCAATGCTCGAATGGTGGTTGTTGCTGTACAAAAAATCTGCCAAGGGTAAATATGTGTCCCAACTCCCACCAAAATCCAAAACACATGCTCGGAGCATATCCTCGAGTGTTTGAATCGTCCGCTCACTCTGCTCGTCCGTCTGTGGGTGGTATGCAGTGCTGAAATGCCGCCTCGTACCCAACTCCTCGTGAAACTTCTTCCAAAATATGGAAGTAAATCGCACGTCTCGATCTGAAACAATCGATATCGGAACCCCATGCCGCGATACCACCTCCCTCACATATAACTCTACCATCCTCTCAGCAGAAGAGCTCTCACTGATAATAAGAAAATGAGTGCTGTTCGTCAACCTATCCACAATCACCCAAATTGCATCGACACCTCTAGCAGTCCTTGGCAATTTGGTGATAAAATCCATGGTAATATGTTCCCACTTCCAATGGGGGATCTCCAGCGGCTGCAGCTTACCATGCGGATGCTGGTGTTTGACCTTTACCTGGCGACAAGTTAGGCACCTCTCAACGAACCATGCAACATCCCTTTTCATACAGGGCCACCAATACTCCTTCTTTAGGTCCATATACATCTTAGTGGCCCTGGGATGGATCGAGAACTTCGATCGATGTGCCTCTTCCATCAAAATGATATGCATCCCGCCCACAAACGGTACCCAAATCCGACCCTGAAATGTCATAAGTCCCCGACTATCGGTAACGAACTCCGATACCTGCCCGACGACTCGCTCCCTCTTTTGGTTTTCTGGTCTCACAGCCTCGGCCTGGGGCCCTCGAATGGTGTCCAATACCAGAGTCATCACTGTCAACCTCATACAAACATCTCGAATCGGGGCGTTCTCCGCCCTTCGGCTCAAAGCATCGGCTATAACATTAGCCTTGCCCAGGTGGTACAGGATCTCACAATCATAATCCTTCACCACTTCTAACCATCTCCTCTGGCGCATATTCAGGTTGGGCTGATCCATCAAGTAATTCAGACTCTTGTGGTCCGTGTATATGGTACACTGAACCCCATACAGATAGTGACGCCAAATCTTGAGGGTAAACACCACAACCGCCAACTCCAGATCGTGGGTGGGATATCTTGACTCATAAGGCTTCAGCTGCCTCGATGCATACGCTATCACGTGCCCCCATTGCATAAGCACTGCCCCAAACCAGATATCGATGCATCACAGTACACAACAAAATCCTCCATCCCTTCCGGGAGTGCGAGCACCGGGGCTTCACACAACTTCTGGCGAAGTGTCTCAAATGAGGACTGCTGCTCCGGACCCCATGAAAATGCAACACCCTTCCGGGTCATCTTGGTAAGTGGCAAGGCGATCTTGGAGAAATCCCTAATAAATCTCCGATAATAGCCTGCCAATCCTAGGAAACTCCTGATCTCTATAGGTGACCTCAACACCCCCCAACTCATCACCGCCTCGATCTTGGCCGGATCGACCAATATCCCTTTCTGGTTAACAAGATGACCTAGGAACTAAACCACTCGTAACCAGAAATCACACTTGGAGAATTTGGCATACAACCTCTCCGATCTCAGGACTCCAAGGATCTCCCTCAAATGCTCCTCATGCTGCTCTCTAGACCTCGAATATACCAAAATATCATCAATGAATATGATCAACGACCGATCCAGCATCGCCTGCACACCCTGTTCATGAGATCCATGAACGCAGCTAGGGGAATTGGTGAGCCCAAAAGGCATCACCACAAACTTGTAATGCCCATAACGAGCTATGAATGCAGTCTTCTGGATATCTTCATCCCGAACCCTCATCTGATGATATCCCGACCTCAAGTCTATCTTGGAACACCAAGATGCCTCCTGCAACTGATCGAACAGATCATCGATCCTCGGTAACGGATATCGGTTCTTGACCGTCATCTTGTTCAACTCCCAGTAATCAATACACATCCGGTGTGAACCATCCTTCTTCTTGACAAAAAGGATCGGCGCTCTCCAAGGTGAGCTACTCGGTCGAATAAACCCATTCACCAACAGCTCCTGAAACTGCAAGGATAACTCCTGCATCTCTGGCGGCATGAGGCGATAAGGCGCCTTGGCGATAGGTGCTGCTCCTGGAACCAAATCGATACGGAACTCCACTTGTCTTTCCGGAGGCACGACCGACAGTTCCTCGAGAAAAACATCCGAAACTCGCATACTATCGGGACCTCTTCAATCAAACTTGGCCTCCGCGCGACCACTCGTGTGTCCATCACATAGGCTACAAAGCCACGACAACCTTGCTGCAAACTCTATCTCGCCCTAGCAGCCGAACAAAATGCCGACCCACACCGAGTCCCTTTGCCGTACACAGTAAGCACTCCCTCACTAGGGTCTCGTATCGTCACCAACTGTCTCTTGCAGTCAATAACCGCTCCAAACTTACACAACTAGTCCATGCCCACGATGACACGAACATCTCCCATCGCGATAGGAACTAAATCAATCAGGAATTTGATGCTAAAACTCTCGAGCACACATCCTCGAATCACCTCGGTGGCATACACCGCTTTCTCATCAGCTATGGAAACCCTCAGAGGTCGAATCATCACCTCCCGACTAATACTGATGTGCTGACTAAAAGCCAAAGATACAAAAGACCGACTCGCACCTGAGTTAAATAACAC